TTGAGAGTGATGTTGGCTTTTGGTTTTGCATATATGCTCTTAATTATGTTGAGGAATTTCCCTTCAATTCCTACTTTGTTGAGTGTTTTTATCAGGAATGGGTGTTGGATTTTGTCAAATGCCTTTTCTGTCTCAATCGATATAATCATGTGGTTTTTCTTTTTTTTAATTTATGTGGTAAATTACGTTGCTTGTTTTTCTAACATTGAACCATCCTTGTATCCTTGGTATGTATCCTGTTTGGTCATGATGCATTATTTTTTGATATGTTGTTGAATTCTATTGGCTGGCATTTTGTTCAGAATTTTTACATCTATATTCATGAGAGATATTGGTCTATAATTTTTTTTAGTAATGCTTTCCTTGGTTTTGATATGAGGATTGATTGCTTCATTAAATGTATTAGAAAGTTTTTCAATTTTTTCTATATTCTGGAATAGTTTGAGTAGAATTGGTGTCAGCTCTTCTCTGAATGTTTGGTAAAATTTACCAGTAAAGCCATCTGGGCCTGGACTTTTTTGTTTGTGAGTTTTTTGCTGACCTGTAGAATACCTCTTGTCTGCCATGCTGAAGGCACGTCTTGCTCTTGTTTTCAGCCTCTCAGCCATGTGATCCCTTGGCCTCTGCCCTGCTTGGGCATGTGTTACAAAGCTATTTTAGCCAGTCTGTGAATGTCCAAAGGTCACATTCTGCAAGCCTGTCTCCTACCCGTCGGCACACACAGCTTTACTGAGTCCTTGAGTCCACAGCCTGAAGCTGCTCTGACTCTCCATTGTCACCACCTCTAGCATAGCCTCTCCCATCACTGCTTCTCTAGGTAGGGGTCTCACCCTTCACTCATGCATTTCCTTCTTGATGGTGCTGGGATCTTTCACCTCTGCTTCTGAGGTGGCTCTGTTTAAGCCTAGTTGGAGAGCAAAGCTAACCGATCCCAACCTTAGAGTTCTGTATACCTTATTTGCATGGTACCACCAGCCACTCCTCGGAAACCCTATACAGGGTGCTATGAGTCGGAGCTAACTTGACGGCACTTAACAACAATCCAATCACTTGGTGGGAATTATGAAGAATTCCCATATCAAATAAATTCAAGGCCATATCAATTAAATTCAAGGCATCGCACTGCTCCAGGATGAACTCAGATTAAAATAGATACCTAAGCATTTCTAGGCTTAGAATGGTTTTGCAGAAAATTAATTTCAAACTTTCAATGAACAGATATTTCCCAAACTATGTAATGGATTTTAGAACATAAAAGGATGGAAGATTGTGTTGTTCATATTATGTAGCTAGCATAATACAGATCCAGACCTGTCAAATACATCCACCCTTTTCCAGTTGAAAAAAATTGAGGGCTTTTTTACCCCTATAAACTTCCCTTTTTTTTGGCAGATGTCTTCACCATTGGATTAAACTAAAATTTGTAGTGGGGATGGAGTCCAGAAAATATCAACAGCTCATTGAGATCAATATGTATTACATTTCTGTGTGCAGAATACTTTTAGGTTTTAGAAGTCAAAACTAAATTAGACAGTGTCTCCACTTTCTGTGAGCCTTTTTACTTCTCTATAATACATGACAAACACACATATAATATTCACAATCCTGTGTGCCCAGAATCTCAAATAAATATAACATATGCCCTCTAGGAATTACTTTTTCAGTAAGGAGATAAGACATGCACTTAAGAAATAAAATTTGTTGATAGAGAAATTAAATACTATACAAGGCCAGAGATAGATGATTATGGGTTAGAGTGATTCAAGAAGGCTTTATGGAGAAAATTGAAACTGAAAGAGGAATTAGATATAGATAAGTGAAGAAAGTTGTATTGGAAAAGGAGAATGAATATGGAAAATTGCAGAAACTGAGTACTCAATATAAAATATAGTGAACAAAGATGCTATAGCTCATACTGCTAGGTTGGCTCACCTACCACTCACTCCTAACCCTCTTTTTAATTTGTCTTACTATATTGTAAAAACTAGAAAGCTAAAAGTACATTTCTCAGACTTCCTTTCTTTAGATTCTTGATATAACCTAGGTTCTCTTCCTGAGTTACTCTCTACCTTTGACTCACCCTCACACCTTTCCTACACCTCCAGGCCAGCTCAAGGTGTGGAAGATGGAGTAAGCATAATGAGGTAATAGCTGCATAGAGGAAGATCAGATCATGTGGTATAAACGTGGTAGTGTTTCCATCATTGGATTGGAGCAGTGGGATGGCAGAGCTTGATTCTCTGGCTCTCCTGGAAGTTGTAGTAAATAAATCCCTTTTTGCTTAAACAAGAGTAGTTCTGTTTTCCACAAGAACCTTGACCAATACGGGTGTCAAGGCAATAATTTTAGTACCTTGAGGATAGTATCCTACCTAGAGTTTGTGTTCTCTGGAATTAGGCAAAGTTTGTTAGAGTAGACAAGGATTTAAAATTTACATCAATTTTTCTTTTAATTTAATTTCAATGATTTTGTTTCTTTTGAGAACATACACAGCCAATCATCCACCAGTTCAGTTTCTACATGTAGAATTCAGTGACATGAAGTACATTCTTTGGAGTCATACTACCATTCTTAGCTTGCTTTTCTGAGTTGTTTCTTCCCCATTAGCACAAACTCATCGTCCCCTAGGTTCCTGTTTAATCTTTTGAGTAGCTTTTGTCAATTTGATCCCATATAGTGGTGGTAGTGTGCCATGGAGTCAGTTCCGACTCATACCGACACTGTTCAGGGTTTCTGAGGCTGTAAATCTTTACGGGAGCAGAATGTTTTTGTTTGTTGTTATATGCCATGGAGTTGGTTCTGACTCATAGCGACCCTGTTCAGGGTTTCCGAGGCTGTAAATCTTTATGGGAGCAGAAAGCCTCATCTTTCTCCCACAGTTACATCAACTCTTGTTGCTAGGTGCCATGCAGTTAGATCCAGCTCATAACAACCTTTTGAGTAACAGAACAAAGCACTGCTGGGTCCCATGCCATCCTCACAATTGTTGTTATGTTTGAGCCTATTGTTGTAGCTGCTGTATCACTTCATCTCTCTGTGCTGACCTTCTGTGAAAGGGCTTCAAAAAGTTCATGGAAAAATTCCAGTATCTCTTAATTCCATTTTTCTACAAATTGTTTTGAAGCCCTATCATACTTTACCATGCTTGATGCCTTTCTCCAAGAACTGGTCCCTCCTGATGACATGCCCAAAAGTGAGTGAGAAGAAGTCTCACCATTGTTGCTTCTAAGGACTATTCTGGCTCTACTTCCTCCAAGACACGTGTTTGTTTTGGGCAGTCCATGGTTAAACAGAACTCTTAACCAACACCACAACCTGAATGTGTTAACTCTTTCTAAGTTTTCCTTTTTCATTGTCAAGCTTTTGCATACTTGTGAGGCAATTGCATGTTGAAAAACAACATGGCCAGGGTTAGTCACGCAATAGCCATTAAAGTGACGTCTTTGCTTTTTAACACTTTAATGAGGTCTTTTGCAGCAGATGTGTCCAGTGCATTGCTTCAATCCAATGTGTTTTTTATCCAATTAGTTTTAAAAGAATGGGGATGTATTATCTTGAAATGGTTTAATGTTTCAGTTTGTAAGCTTTCATATTCTAACTCTAAGCTTCACAAAACTCTGGTCCACCCTTTCCTGACAAATCAGATGGAAAGAAATAGTTACTGAATTAACTTTGCTGTATTGTTGTTTTAGGAAGAAGAAGAAATGAAATTGAGAAAGCAAAAGGAAATGAAACAAAATTTTGAAGAACAAATGGCACTGAAGGAACTAGTACTACAGGCTGCAAAAGAGGAAGAAGAGATCTTTAGAAAAGCCATGCTAGCTAAACTAGCTGAGGATGATCGCATTGAATTAATGAATGCTCAGAAACAAAGAATGAAGCAGCTAGAACACAGGAAGGCTGTGGAAAAACTTATCGAAGAACGTCACAAACAGTTCCTTGCAGACAAAGTAAGAAAAAGATGGTCATTATCATTGAATGGTGTCCTGATGTGGTGCTCTAGGATAAGCACCAGACTGCTAACCTCAAAGTCAGCAATTCAAACCCACCAGCCACTCATCAGAAACCCTATACAGGGTCTCTGTGAGTCAAAATTGCCTTGACAACACTTAACATTGAACGGTAATGGGTTCATTTATTGATCCACTAAACCTTACTGAGAATGTTGATAAATGCCGTCGAGGCTATACATCTTTGCAGGAACATAAAGCCTCATCTTTCTCCAGTGGAGCAGCTGATGGACTTGAACCACCGATCGTGACCAGTTTTTATCCGATAGCGCCACCATTTCTCATAATTTAGGGGGTAGGAGGAGGGCAAGAAATCGAAAAGCCAAGACAAGAAATGGTCAGAACGGCAAGAGAATCTGGATGGTGTAGTCACAAAAAACCAAGAAGGATGCTCTGTCTTTCTCCTGTTCCATAAAATATTGGGTTACTTGGGGTTCAGTTTTTGACTTTCCATTTTTTTTTTTTTTTTTTTTTACTTTTTTATTTTGAATTGGGTGATATTTTACAGAGCAGATCTTCAGTTTTACATTCATGGCTTTCCTCTATTCTTATTCAACAAATACCACAGTTCTTAGTGACACATTTTTAACTGCTGAAGGACAGACATAGTTCGAGTCCTGGTGTGGCGCTGTACAATAGGCACTTGACTGCAAGGTCATAACTTTTGTTGTTACTCTTATGCTACATATAGGCTTTATATTGTAATGGTGGTGGTGGTGCTGTTGACTCAGTTGCAATTCACAGTGACTGTGTATAAGGTTTCTGAAGCTGTGAATCTTTATGGAAACAGAAAACTTCATCTTTCTTCCAGTTAGTGGCTGGTGGGTTTGAACTGCTGAATTTGCAGTTAGCAGTCCAGTGCTTACCCTAAAGTGCCACTAGTGCTTTATATGTAATGTTGTTGTTAAGTGCAGTAGAATCAGCACTTATCCTACAGTGCCACACCAGGACTCCTTATATGTAAAAATATCCTTTGAGTATTGTTCTGTTTTATTCATAAACATTTTGTTTTACATTATAAGCTATCTTCAGCACCTGACATATGATAAGCTTTCAGCAAATATCTGTTGAAGCATTCAATAAATATTTGTTGGACTAGAAAATCACTCCTCTGAACTGTTATTATATGGTAAGGAAGACTTGATCCTGAAAATATTTATTTGCCTCCCTAAAATCAGTCATATTATGTTCTTCTAACTTTAAAGAATAGTGAAAGTAAAAGAGAAAAATAACATATATTATCTATGTATGTAGTATCTTTTGAAGGATTCCCTTAGCAGTGCAAATGCTCAGCCACACTCAAGTGCTAACCAAAGTTTGGAGGGTTTCAATCTACCCACAGGTACCTTGAAAGAAATTACCTGGTGATCTGTTTCCAAAAAACCAGCCATTTCAAACTCAATGGACGATAGTTCTAGTTGAACACACAAGGGGTTAACCATGGGTCAGAATTGACTCAGTGGCCACTGGTAGTAGTTTTTGAACTTATTACCATAAATAGCTCATCAATTTGTCATGTAATCCACTGTATGAGTTATTGTATTTGAAAATTTCTTAAAAGATGAATGTATTTTGTAAAAATTAATAAAATTTTATTTATATCTCCAGGAACGTGAACTGGAAGAATGGCAGATGCAGCAAAGAAGACAAGGGTGTGTTAATACAATTATTGAAGAAGAGAGACTAAAACTTCTCAAGGAACATGCTACAAAATTACTAGGATATCTCCCTAAAGTAAGTGAGACTTAAGGTGTAATCTACCTGATCTCCAATAGTGAAAAAAATCAGAGGACTTGGGTTTTTGTAGTACTAAAGTAGTGGGCTCCTGGTGTGCACTGTAGGATCAGTATTGGTAATTCAAACCCACCAGCCGCTCCTCAGAAACCCTCTAAGGGTTGCTGTGAGTCAGAACCGACTCGACAACAATTAACAACAAAAGTAGCAGAACCCAGATTCCTATCATAACTCCTTCACTGGAGCTGACAAATCAAGACATCAGGTCTAAGACCATTCAGTATATTAAAGTTATAGTTTTCAGAAAATGTTGATGATTCTTTTTTATTTAAAAATTCCTTAAATCTGGTACTAGGTACTATGATACTAGGTACACAGAAAATATATGTTTCATTTTTTCGGGGGATAACTTTACTAACCTCATGCCTATGAATTTGTTAGTTTTTAAAAGCATTTAGTGAAATGTTCTGGCATTCAAAAGTAATCAATAAAATGTTTTCTTGCAGGGAGTATTTAAAAGAGACGATGATATTGATATGCTTGGTGAAGAGTTTAGAAAGGAATATCAAAAAAGGAATGAAGTTTATGAAGATAAATGAAACCATCAAGATTTGGTAAAACCAGATTCTTTTGTGTATTACCACTAGATGTCAGCATAACTTTTGTTTTCATTTCAGTGACCGTAGGAATTCTTTATCTGTTTGCATCATGAGATATCATTATCTCATAACTTGTAAAGTTATTAACAATAAAAATATTACTGAATAGTTTTTGGACCATTAAAATAAATTCCTTTTAGTCAAGTTAATGTTATTTTTGTACTGATTGAAAGTAAAAACTTTGAAGCCACCTTATGATATATACTTACACAATACATACTTGTTGCTTTCGAGTCTGTGTAAACTCCTAGTGACCCTCTAGTAGAACTGCCCCATAGAGTTTCTAAGGCCATTTTTATGAAAGCAGCTGACACATCTTTCTCCCATGGAGCAGCTGGTGGGTTTGAACTGCCAACCTTTTGGTTAGCAGTCAAGCACTTAGCCACTGCAGGATCAAGGCTCCATGCTGTGTGTCAGGGGGGCAGGGAGGTGTCTGCGTGTGTGTGTGTGTGTGTGTGTGTGTGTGTAAACAAATTGTTAGCCAAACTCAACACACTAACTTCTCCATACAACTTCGACTGTTCAGAGTTTTCTCTGCATCCCCATTCTTTAAGACAGTATGTTCACCTTGACTAATACAGAAGAACTCTACCCTCAAAGTAGACTGTCCTCTGTCTACATTACTGGTTTTCTTCAGGAACTTTACTTCCCTGATGTGGTTTTAAAGCACCTGTTTCAGTGTACCATAAAGGGAGAAAAAAAGCAAATGGAGTAAGAATTTCAAGGCACTTTATTACCTAATGTATTAAATTGTCAATAAGAACATAAAATAACTTCTCTCAGATAATTTCTATCATTTATGAACTAAACCTGACTCTATTTTATATATTCAAGTGTAGTGAAAAAGTGAAAGAAAAAGGGCTAATAGGCCATAAGAAAGAGAATCAAAAAAATAAATTCTTGTTGCTTCATTTTATAAAATGTTTTTCAAATAGTTGTAAATTAGTTTTGTATACCCCAATTCTATAATCTTTGAAATTATTTTTGTTTCATTATCTTCAATAGTGTTAATATGAAAAGTAAAAATAACTCAAACCATTGCAGTTTGTTCAGTGAAATACGCTGGATAAGCACCATACACAATCAGTTCTCTTCCAGAGAAGAGTTCAAGTAGATCATTTATGAATTTCCCCATTCTAGTGCCTTCATAAATTCCTCTTCTGTGAAAGACAGCATCTTGGCAGCTTCAATGTGCATCTGTTAGGAAAAAAAATGTCTAATTTAGCATCAAAAGTAGACCACAAAACAACAGGAAATATGAGTCTGTATGCTATTCGAATGATACGTAAGTTCTGTTGTAGAGATGTGCTAACTCTAATAAACATGATATTTGAAATTATAATTAATTCAGGGGCTAGCTGATAAAAAATTATGTATCCAACAGTGGCACTGAATCTTACTACTAAAAGAATAATTCAGTAATAGTGAAATACTTCATCTTTTAAAAAAGAGAAAATGACAAAACCATGAATTCATATCATCTCAACAATACATGTCCAATGTGTCAAAAAAGGAATAATTGTGGTTTGAAACATCTTCAAGGTTTCAAGAGGTAAGCAATCCCCTAAGGTAATAGTTTTTCTTGTATATGGTATTTTCTTTAATTGGGAAGGACCAAACTGCATTTCTAGCCCCTATTCCATATTAATAATTTACTTGCATGAAAATAAGTATTTGCTTGATGGCACATTATATAAAAACCTTATTACATGTTTTACACATATAATGTATTTATATTGAAAAACTTTGTGCTTAAAAATGCCAAAACAAAATTAGATGCTAAGTAAAAATACTAAATATTTTGGTAAAACAGTCCAAATAACTATGATTCAACTTTGTTTTAGGATATACTCACCTTCTGCCTTTTTAAAACATCAATTAATTTTAATTGTTTCTTGAACCCTATCATTAATTCTCCTTTTTGTTTTTCTAGTTTCTTGTTTTCTGATTTTAAGGCTTCAATTTTTTTCTGTTCTTCATTTGCTATATCCTACAAAAGGGAAAGTATTCCATATTTGCTTTCTTCAATATGTAACACTTTAATGAAAAAATTACTACAATGATCAATCATCACATCAGTAATAAATTACTATTTTAAAAACTCAAAATTTTATATATAAAAAAATTAATAGAATTCTGATAGGTTTTAATCATGCTCAGATCTTTACCATTTAAAATTTTTTTAAAAAATTAACTCAGCTATAGTTCTAGCAGTGGCAAAGTAGCTTATTCTGAGCCAACTCTCCTGACAATACTAATGTAATCCCTTGACAAAACTTAAAATACATATTTGAAGGCATAAATAATGAATAAACCCTAATCCACTGCCCTCAAATTGGTTCTGACTCACAGCAACCCTATGCAGGGTTTCCAAGGCTGTAAGCTTTATGGGAGCAGAAAACTTCTTTTTTCCACAGCATGGTTGGTGGATTCGAACTGCTGACCTTGCAGTGAGCAGCCCAATGCATAACTTACTATGCCACCAGGGCTTCTTAAATACTGAGTAGAAAAACAGTAGCAGAAACTAGAAGGGATATGACTCTTGAAAGAAGAGAAACATACTGCTTGAGTTCCTCATTCAGCTTCTGGCTTTTCCCCTAAGAACACTTCCCAGTTCATGGGCTGACAGGGAAAGATAGCAAGTAAACAGTAGTAGTTTAATTAAGCTGAGGCGTCAGATGGTAGGACTGTAAGAGTAATTAGAAGTTTCCAAGTCGGAGATCCTAGAAGAAGGGAGCCCCAGAAAAGCAAACCTTTAAAATCTGCATACGTATGTTTCTCAACTTTTTGGTAGACACCTAAATTCCAAATGCAGGCTCCGATTCCAAGAAACCATGAAAGAATAGCTGCAGTGTAAAGAGGTGAACAGAAGTTCTAGCCATTGTGCAGGGCAAGGAGAATGTTGGTAAAAATTCACTGTGTGAGCGCTACAGCAATTTGGACATTACTGGACAAGAACTTGTAAACTCTTTAGTACAGAAAGATCTGTGTTTCAAGATATAGTAAAGGAAGCCTTTCAGGAAGAAGGAAAATTATACCAGCAGGAAATCTGAATCTACACACACAAAAATTATATGTATATATTGTTTCACAGAAAATCTCTTTAAAAGACAATTGACTCTTTAAAGCAAAATTAATAGTAAAGTAGTATGGCATTTGTTTGAGTAAAGTAAAATATCTCTATATCTAGTAACAAAATCAAAGTTAAAAATATTTCCACAAGACAACTTAAAGACTCAGATGACTTAACTTGTGAATTCTACCAAACATTTAAGGAAGAAATAATATCAGTTCTATAAAATTTTTTCCACAAAGTTGTGAGGAGGGAACAATTCAGTTCCTATAATAAAGGAGTAGAACCCTGGTACCAAAATAAAGAGATTTCACAAGAAAAGAGAACTACAGACTATGACAGCAATAGCACAAATGCTAGGGAACATGAAATGGAAATAGGAGTTTATAAATTTATTACATTACTCAGAGAATATTTCCTGAAGACTGACTGTAATAAAGATGTATATGATAAATGACAAAAGATGTACAAACACAAAGACGTACAGATGAGGCAACAAAGAACATAAAATGGAATCATAAAATACTCAATTCAAAAGACAGAGAAATAATAATGTAGGAATAAAGAACAAATGGAATAAGTAAAAGATAAATAGCATAATAAAAGACTTACACCCAATCACTAATAGCCACATTAAACATAAATGGCCTAAACACCCAAATTAAAAAGTCACAAAGACTCAGATTGGATTAAGAAGCAACTCAAGTGTACCAGGCCTACAGTATACTCATTTAAATACAAAGACACAAAGTGTTAAAGGTAAAAAGATGGAAAGAGATGCCAATACTAGTACTAATAAAAATTAAATAAACAACTATAGTTGTACATATCAGAAAAAGAATATTAGTAGAAAAAAGTTATGTCATAATAACAAAGGGACTTCAACAATAGAAAATGACCCTCCTAAATGTTAATATACCTGGTAGTACAGCTTCAAAATACATGATACAAAAACTGATGGAACTGAAAGGAGAAATTGACAACTGCACAGTTTGAGAGATCTGTATTCCTTTCCTAATCATTGACCAAACAAGTAGACAAAAAAGGTGTAAAAATACAGAAGACCTGAGCAACACTATCAAGCAACTTGCACTAACATTTATAGAACGCTCAATGATTGCAAAATACAGTCCTTTATAGGGCAAATGGAATATCACCAATTTAAACCGTATTCTGGCCCATAAAATAAGTCTTCATAAATGTACAGTTATTCAACTAGTACTAAATGTATTCTTTGTCCAAAACAGTATTTAATTAGAATTCAATAAAAACTTATTTGAAAAATTCTTAAAGTACTTAGAGACAAAATGATACACTTTTGAGTAACTTCTGGGTCAAAGGAACAATCAAAAGCAAATTACTGTGAAAGAAATGAAATATGATATAACAAGCATTGTGGGACGTAGGTAAAGCAATGCATAGAAGAAAATTTATGGTTAAATGTCTTTATTAGAAAAGTCTCAAATCTAAGCTTCTACTTTAAGCAACTAAAATTAAAGTGGGGGAGAGAGAATTGAAATTAAAGACAAGAAAACAAAGGAACAGAAATTAGAGAAAGTGAAATAAACAGAAACAAACACACTCAGGACTGGGGAACAGCTGCCTCCTCAAATTTAAGTTGATCATAATGATGTGAATGGAGCAAAGATTTCAGGACTTTTATTTGCTGATAGTGTATAATGAGGAGAAATAGAAGCAAACATCCATTAACATTCAGAACATGGAATGTACAAAGTATGAATATGGGAAAATTGAAAGTTGTCAAACATGAAATGGAATGCATAAAGCTCAGTATCCTAGACATTAGTGAGCTAAACTGGATTGGTATTGGCCATTTCGAATCCAACAATTCTATGGTTTACTATGTTAGGAATTCAAAAGGAATGACACTGTATTCATAGTCAAAAAGAACATTTCAAGATCTACCTCGAAGTACAATGCTGTATATGATAGGGTAATATCCAGACACCTACAAAGAAGACCAAGGAGCTCTGGTAGCGTAGTGGCTACGAATCGGGCTGCGAACCTTAAGGTCAGCAGTTCGAAACTACCAGCTGCTCCGCGGGAGAAAGATGAGGCTTTCTACTCCCGTAAAGATTTACACCC